TTATACAATAAGTTATTTGATAGATGAAAACCTTGACTTTCTATTGGTTATAGGTAATATATAATGAAACGTGAGAGAACTATCAACAAATTCTGAAAGAGAGGATGTGAGAGAAAAGCTATTCAATAGCTATGTAACCAAATAAAATTGAAGACTATAAAAATTATGGTTTGTCTGAGCAATAACAATTTTATAGAGAGTAATTTACATTTAATTTCGTACTTTTTGAAGGGCCGGTGGATAAAATAGGGATGAAGACATGCTAAGACAAAATGTGTCACGTGGGTCACACTAGTGGAAATTTGTTTTAAATATTGCCTTGTAGAATTAAGAACTTAAAACTTGTATACTACTACAATATGGATTATTAGCTAAGATTTTATGCTATTCTAATGGGTATAGCATAAACAAAAAGTAGCTTAATAAAATTTTGAATGTAAGACACTAAACCTTGTGTCATGCGCAATAAAGGATACCTGTGGCAATAGGGTTAAGTCAGGTTCAATATTTTGCACATAAAGAAAGATCAAAACTAAAGTGACTCAATTCTATCAAAGCTGATTCTCCATTTAATACAAACAAATATACTTATACATCTTATGGATTTAAAACTGCTAAGAATAAATAAATAAAATTACAGTAACCACATGAAGTTTGGAAGTTTACTAACAACTGTAAAATAAGAGGATAATATGTCTTCATAGTTCCTTCCTGACAACTTCATTGTATAACTCAAAATGAAAAATATATAGATTCTTCTAAATTTAATTCCTAATGTTCAATAAAGGGTAAGCAACTGTACTCAAAAAGGCTTAGAAATAAAACTGAAAGATTAATATGTTCAGAATTATTCAAAATATGTTGCTGGGTTCTGGTGTAGGATAAAAAGTGTTAAAGCTAATACATTATTTTAAATAATACTCAAACTTTGAGTGCTTTACATCAACAGTTATTTTCACATTTGTTTTTATATTTTTTAACAACAGTTTAATAAAAATGGTCAATCTTACAGTCTATACTACAGTAATTACATGAAAGTAATTTATGATGCTTACATATACAACCAATAAGACGCTCTTCATATGCAGAAGGAATGATGTTGGGATCCGTTTTGGTTCCAGGTCCTCTCTTGTAAACCCTCATGTCAAAAGGATTCTGCAGGGGAAAAAAAGAACATAATATGGACATATTACAAAGAAATTTAAAATATATATTACTGATTACTGAAGGAGTCCATGTATTGTATCATAGTGAGGAATGTTATGTTTTTGTCAGTTACAACACTCGGTTTTAAACAACTGGCCAAAACACTGGATGAAATTGCCAATTTTTCATGTAAAATACATAGAATATGAGTGATTTCACAGTGAGTTTAATTTAAATATTCACAATAGTGTTTTCAAATTTCTTTGTGTGACTTGTATAGAGCTGTGTGATTTATTCAATTATTTGATATAATCTATTATTTATGAATAGTGATTACACAGATTAGTGTCACATAAACCATGGGCATAGACAGCAAAAAAAAAAATGTAGACCTTTGTTTTATACAAGTTATTTACATGGAAGTTAATTGTTTAACAACCCTATTTCAATGGCTCAGTCAAATTGTGCATACCACAATATCTAACAGTTATGTTCAAAATTTAAACAAGTAGTTTACAATTCAAATTTTTATGTTATTTAATTTCTTAAGGAAATATTGAAATAAACTCTCAATCGTTACTTGTCTGTGTCATGTGATGCCCTTTCACTCTAAACTGGCCATTTCAGATTCATTTTTTACTTTAATATGATTTTTTGAAAGTCTAACTAATTACAAACACACATTATAGATAACTTAGCCAGAATAAATAGTTAGAACCTCCAGTCTTCGTTCTTTACTGATATATAAAACAAATTCACATGACATGCTCCTCCCATATCATTGTCTTTACATAAAATGTCAATAATCTCTCTGACAATGCTATTATAGACAATGGAAAGAACAGGTTTTTCTTTACAAGCTTCATTATATGGGATGTTTCATTCTTCAACTCTTAAGTAGATATTTGGCCTTAGTTTCATTGTTTGTGATTGTAGTATTCAGCTTCAAGTATCTAACAGAAGTTTTCAGCCTATTTATAGCTTAGTTTAAAAGTCAGTTAAATTATAGTTTTGGGACATTCTATCGTAGTGGCTGATGTATTTTTGTGTTCTAAAATGCATATCTGAAATAAACATGAATTATCTTGTGGACACTGAAAATCATCATAAAAAAGTGGGTACAGAGTGCCACGTGTTGAACAGTAAAAGGCCCGAGTCCAGATGTGAATACTGAATTTCTTGTTTTTATGAATATCACTTATTCATTGTTATAACAGTAACTAAAATGTAAACATTATAAACGTATTAGGTTAAACAAGAAAACTTAAATGATTTTTTTATTAATTTTTCATCATATTCAATATTCTACATCAAGGCAACTAAGCACACAGTGTGGTGTGACTAACTTGATCATTTGCTTACATGAAGCATCTCACTATGATAAATGGTTTGAGCATACTCTGAAACAGTCTAAATACAGCTGTTAAGCATGAAAAGTAAATGACACAAGATGAGAATAAGTTAGTTTTACTGAAAAGAAAGCTTTTGATATATATTTAAGATGTTTTTAGCTTATTCAAAATAAAAATAGAACCTGCAAGATGGTAAAAAATGTTTTTTTTAGCATGAAAATCAACTTTCACTTGGTTGACTCAGTAAAGATTTTGGAAATTCAAAGACAAATCTCTAGTAACAATACTTTATCAAAAATTCTGTATTTTTTGTATACAGCAGATCTTTAATATTTACATACAGTGAATTCAGATTTATAATAAACATAATATAGCATTAGTCCAATGGATCAACATAATGCACAAAGTGTTAAAACAAAATAATGGATATTTTAGACTTTTTAGAAAATTGGAGTGGTCAATCAAACTCCCCTAGCAATCCTGCTGATGCAAACTAATCATTTAATCAAAATTAGTGTTTCCAATTATTATTGATTTTGATTGTTCCAATGAATTGATTGATTGTCACAAAATAATAAACTAATTGAAATCAGTGTTTCCAATTATTTAATCAAAATTGTGGTCAAATTGCCATGAAAATGATCAATTGATTGAAATTAATTGTTCAGATTATTATTAATTTTCAATTATTCCAACTATTTAAGTAATTGAAATATTGCCATCATATTTCTTGTTGAGAACATGGATGATATATGTACTAGCGAATAGTATACATATTTGGGAAGCACAAATATTTAATGCATTTTTTATTTGATAAAAATGTGTCTTTATGTAGAAATGCATCTTATCTGGAACACTGATTCAACATTACTAGCAGCAAATGTGTATGCACTTTATAAAATATTGTTATGTTTGTGCACATGGAAAGATCATGTCATGGAAAACATTCCTTCATATTCAATATACATTATTCTTATTATGTATTCTAAAAAACAACATTAACTTTTATATTATGTGCTTGTCAGTTTTGGACAATGGAATGGATTTAGGATCTTTTGTAAAATACCTTCATAACTTTAAATTGTGTGCTGTATGAGAAATACTTCGTAGAATAATTTTACTTACTTCATTTCCAGCAGCTTTTGCCATCATTTCCTTTTTCTCTAAACCTGTTGCATGTTCCATTGAGAAGGTATCTACTAAATCTAAAAATTTTTTTAAAATTTCAATATACTATTAAAAGTATCTTTTTGATATAAAATAAACATGAGTTATAAGAAATATTTTGTTAACATGTCAGGAAAGCTATTTATGATGGGCAAACACCTTTAGTGTCTATCACTGTAGTTTTAACTTTTGACAAAACTACAACTACCTATACATCATTAACTGTGTAAAAGGCCTCAGATGAGAATAAACAAGTAATCAAAAAATATGGAAGATGAATGCAAGTTTTAATGATTTCTCATAATTTAATGTTAAAAGTGATGTTTCAAGACAGTTTTTGAAAACTCTGAATAGAACTATGAGATTGTTAACGATAAAGCATAGGAAAGAAAAAGTTCATCAATAAAAATAAGCATGTAAACAACTTATAGTTACAACAGTATAGTGAAAGTCAGGTACTAATAAACGACCAATCTTAAATAAAATCATAAAAGATTTACTTAAAATCAAGAATAAAACTTAATTAATATATACAACTAGTTAAAAGACAGAGACACATTAAAAAACAATAGAAGTTAAAATACTACAATTACAAAAATGGGCTATCATATTATTCATAGAAAATAACCAAACACTACTCAACTTTCAAAATTTCTTTATGATTTCTATTTAAGAATTTTATGTTTATATTAAACCAGTGTTATATTATATTTTGCTGTATTATAATATCTGTGGCATACATATATAATTTTTCAGAATCTCCAAAACTGCATCCACAGTAAGGCGCATGACCAAAAATACTGCTTTTAACATCTAAATTTATATAATACAATTCCTTAACCTTAAAGGATGTGCTGTCTATAATACTGTCTAAATGTACACATAAGAATCCCTTAATCAACTCACTTGCTTTAGTAGCTTATAAACTAGAGTAGTACAAGTTGATGTATTACTTACACTTCCTGTTACGATTGTACAAAACTTCAAAATATATGTTTATGTTCTGACTTTCCTTCTTACGGCAGTTTCATTAGAATGTAGCACACATAACAAACAAAATTATATTACTCTAAAATGTGAAGGCAAGAAAAAACTTTTATTTGACATTTAATTAAACTCTATCATGTATCATCCTGCTTGTCCAAGTACACATACCAACTTTTATGACATTCTAAAGAACACATGTACAAATGCACTTAAAAGTGATTTTACTGTCCACTTTCTAAACATGTACACCAACTTTCTATAAATATTAATCTCCCACAGTCAAGCAATATTTATTAAAATTATTATTTTTTTAGCATCAGGATTCAATATAACCCTATTTTATACTAAAATATATACAAGTTGAGCTTGCAAAAGTAACTGCAGCTCTACTCATAACACGTCTTAACCCAAAGGAATTTACTATATGCATGCATCTTGTATTCTGTTTTTATGCTGAAACACAGAAGTCTATAAATTTGTTCAATGGATGGAGAATTGAAATATTGGGAAACATAGTAAAGTACTAAGTATATCTATAAAAGTGTGCGGCAATTTAGTGAAGCACATACAAATAGTAGTTATTTGGTCAAGATACATATTGATGTTAAAAGTCGAGTTTAATTAGAGTATACGAGTAATTGCACAGGTAATAACGAATTTATGCTTTCATAACAGTCCTTTGAAACTTTGAAAACTAGAACACATAGAACTTTAAAATAAAGCAGATTTTTCCTATGAAAGAACATAAATTGATTAACTGAAGCAAAAACTACAACATAATTAATTTTTATACTGTACATTTTAAAAGCATTATCACAATATCAACAAATTTCAGTGAAAAATGAATATTAGGTTTTAATTATTTCACAGTTTTAGATTATACAATTAAGCTCCTATGCTCTTACTGAGTTAAACATATGTTAAAATGTTCTGCTTTCAAGTGATCATTTACAATTAAAAGGCAAATATCATCAGTTGTTGGCATACTGACATTTTGATAATAATCAAACAAATGCAAATCATTATTTCAAACACTGACATGATATCTCTTGAACAAGTTTTTAATTAAGATCACAGTTTCCATACACATACAAATATAATTTGTAATGTAACCATAAAAGAGAAACAATACAATATTCATTTGCCTATTTAACATACATACAGAGTAACACCACATTATGAGGCAAATAATTCCAGCTTATATCCTAAATTAGTAAATATCTTTTTAATTTTTTAAACCTTGTTACCCAAGCTATCTTACTATTACTGTTATTACTATTAGTATTACTAGGAGTAGGAGTAATAGTAATACAATAGTATGGGGAAAATATGAACGCAAGGAGAGACGTGTTACACTGAGTGATATGTGATCAGAAATAAAATGAAGTATGGAGACAGACAGTATTTGGATTTTTTTGTGTGAATTTCAGAACGGATGATTGCTTAATTCAGATTATTAAAAAGTTGGTGGTTTGGAAATCTTCCTTTTTACATGTATGCATACTCATAGAACTGAGAAGGAAGGTTGGAAATACAAACTTGAACGTTAAGAGAAATATGCATAAATGTGAACATTGGAAACCTAGATCCAAATTTGCTCTTGCATGTATATGTAAAAACAAGTTCAATAATAGTTTTAAAATCAAAGATGAACTTAATACAGTATTATACTTTAATAGTACTGATAGTGATAAGAACATGTTTCTAGAACTAGAAGATCTAGTAGAACGTAAGCCTAACAATATAGTACTAGTACTTAGTAATATTTATGAACACTAATACTATACGCATTTCAGTCCAACAACTTAAACAATATACATACTTTTACTGAGTGAACGAGTCGACAGATACAATACATTTCGAGGAACTTGACTAATAACTTTTCTTAACGCTAAACTAGCCATTTTTCGTACAACAGAATTCACTCGTAAGACACACCAACTCAGTTTCAACCTTAGATCGTTCGGTCACGGAAAAAAAAACAAAAAAATTAACAAGGATAAAATATAACCTATGGATAGAAAAAACAGTCTTAGCTAGGTTTTACACTTTGTAAATAAATAAAAAGGATTCTCTCTAAACAAACATCAAATACAGTATTAAAAATTTATTAAACGGCCTATATTAAGTATTTTTATTTAAACACTAAGTTAAAGTATAGCTCTGTTAGTTATTTTAATACTTGAAATGATACTTTCGTTTTTCATAAAACACGGTAAGTATAGTATTTTCCTTTGTGCGTCTGCGTCAGATTACGCAACAGACTTAAAATAAATACTGTAGATACACAAGCATAGATATTCTACATACAAGCTACACTTGCAAAAACACATACATCTACATTCATGTTACCTATATAGTCAAAGACACGTTTAAAACAAAAGTCCCAAAGGTTTTATTTAACTTTAAAAAACGCAGTTGTCTATGAAAATAAATAAAACACATTGTATTAATCGTGTTTAAGTAATAGCTTAATACTTTAGATGCAAAGTGAGGACAGATTGCATACAACTTTTAAGGGGACAAATCGTACATTGCCCATTATATGTATATATTACTTTTTTGTTTGTTTCATCTTGTTTCTGCAGTATGTTCACCATAGGGATCGAGCCCAGAAATATAGCGTTTTAAACCTACAAACTTACTGCTGAGCTATTAGGGAGCTATGTTTCAGAATTTGTTGCAATATTACGTAAGAACTATCTATGCATAACCGTCCTTAGTTTTAAACTGACAGTTTAAAGGGAAGGAAGCCACTGAAAAACACCTACACTAATTACTAATTACTTTTGTGTGATTGGTTGTTTGTAGTTAAGCACAAAGCTACACAAAGGGCTATCTGTATTCTGCCCACCACGGGTATCGAAACCCGTATTCTAGCGTTGTAAGTCCGCAGACATACTGCTGGGCCACTGGGGGGGGGGGGGCTTGTGTGATTAAATAGTGGAGATGAGTCATCACTCTTATAACATCCATCGCCACAAAATGTGGAGTGTGTTTTTGCCACAATTCCTTGAAGTCACAATCCGGGTACGATAATTACAAGGCCAGGCCGGTCAGGTAAATCTCATACACCAAAGTTTACAGGATTTATAAGAATAATTTACAGATCATCAATTCTTAGACAGATTGGTATTCTGAAGAAAATAAAACTTGGAGCATTTTTCTACGGAACTTAACTGACATAACAGTTCATAGTAGCAGTGGAGTCGTGCCCATAGGTCAGGGATGGGTATGCCCCCCACCCCCATCTCACTACAGTGCTTTCCACACATTTGTAATAATCACAAATCCATGCACACACAATTGATCAAATATTTTCAATACATTTATCTCTGTTGGAAACCAATAAGTTAATTGAGGTAACAGCGAAAATTTGATCATATGAAAAGCAAAAGGCACCCCACTTATTATTATTTGTATGATTATTACTATTAAAACACCATTGATAACAAAGGTAACTTGTTTTCTGACCTCAAAAAATTTAGCTGCGTTATGCCCCTGCATCATATTGTGGTGTAATCAGATAGAAAAGAATTAACTATATAGCAAAGGGAAAGGCCTGCCTAACAGGAGGTTCGACAAGATATTTATCACAAAATATTATTGAATATTCTGAGTAGCTGAGTGAAAGAAAGAGAGAAGGAGAGTGGACCCAAAGTACTGCACAAAATTTAAAATATTTATTCAACTCCCAAGCAATATTTATGTACTAGTTACTATTAAACATGGAATTGTCGCTTCTACTGGATGATATAGCCTCAACTGACCAGAATGAAGCCTCTATTAGATAGTTTAAACTCAATGCTCCTTATTTTGCAGATAACATCGGATTTACCCAATGTGACTAGTGATATACATGTGCTTGGTCATTCTCGTTCAAGCACAGGGAAGCCATAACCTCGAGATGCCACTTGAACCACCATGGAAGGACACTAGGCATTGACATTCTTGCACAATGTGTAGCATTATAGCAAAATTCCATGAGCAGAACACGTATTATCTCCTAAAGGATGACAAATTAACAAATGCAGCTAGAATTAGATGACCTTAACAGCTCTCTTGACCACTTGTCATGTGAAACCTCTATATATACAGAATACATTATAGATTCAGAATAATGCTATAACAAAATAGGAATGTAGAAATGCATGGAGTATTTATATACCACAACTGTTTACAATGCTGCAAAAATATTAAAATTACACTATCGTATTATTACATAGCATGGGCATGGAATAGTTATATATTTTTAGCTGCAAAGGATAAAGACCACTCTTCAAACCCTTTTCAGGAAAGAGAGTCACCTATGCCAGTTACGCACTAAATGACTGTTCATGCTCTTCTCCTGAGAATCGATATCAGTGCAAGTTAAACACAGATGACTGAGTATCTTTATGGTAGTGTGGCATCTTCAAACCCGAGACTGAGTGGGGTAGTCTATACAGGACCGCCAGACTTATACCAACAACAGTTACCAAACCACAGCTCTGATCAAAGTCATCCAAGAACATCAGAGAAGGACTGAAGGCGCCATTGGTGAACAGTATTTGCCAACAGGACCTATCCAACTAGCTGGTGAGATGTTGGGCCCTGAGTAATGAAGCAAATCGACGATGAGGTAGTGTTGAACCTCTCCGAGTTGGGATGTATACTGCTTAGACAGCCATGGATAACAAGCAACTTGAGGTCATGCAGAACCAATGGATAAGCTGCTGAGTACACCTCATTGTCCTGCCACCCTTGAGTGGAGTTTTCTATCTTATACTTTTAGAGAGCTCAGTTTATTTGAAAATATGTAAATAGATAGGAAAAAGTAATTTTGTTGTTGTGCCAACAGGATTTATTGTACATTTTTATTTTGGTTAACGTGGGTACTGACCATTGCCTGATCTCTCGTATTGAAAGGAATTTAAAGGAATACTCTATGTGAAGAGATACTCACCACTACCACAAAGGAGAGTTTTCTGAAGCAAGAACAACTGAGAGTCATTAATATGAATTGGTACTTGTATAGTATGAGACCACTTGGGGAATTCTCCACAGGACTCTTAGGCTGTTACCAGACAGAGCAACTCAACTCCATTTATGGTCCAGACCACAGACAATCAGCCGAAAAAAGGACTGGACGTGCTGCTGATGGATAGCATACACCATTTAGAACTGTTTTCCTGGCAGGTGAGATAGAGGGAATCTACTGACAATACCTAAGACACTTAGTAGTTTGTGCAACCAATGATTGAAAGGAAGTAGTATTCCTTGCTTTCTGAATTACTGGCTAGTATTGTCTGGCAGAATGTATGGATTACATTTAGCTGCTGCTTCTCATTCATCAAAGATAGAGCAACCAGAAAGTTGGATGACTACTGACCAAAATAATTTAGTAATGCTTGCTCTTAACCCTTGAGTGGTCTGTTGAAATACCGTGTGTGTGCACTATACTGTATAGTTATGTCTTGATCATCAAAGCAAGGGTGATCACTAGGTCGAGTATCTGACGAATGAAAGGAAGTGATGTGTGCACTATCTCGTTGATAGTAATAGCTAGGATAGTCAGGTAATTGGAAGACAGCTGACCACAATAGTATTGTGACCACATGCTTTTGGATCCATTTAGTATTGGGAGCACAGTGTAAGCGCTACGCTGTAGAGTTACTGCTCGATCACCAAGGCTGAGACAGTCATTTGTTTGTGCAACTAACGACTGAAAGGAAGTAGCATTCCTTGTTTTCTTAACTATCCAATGGTATTATGATGTGATGCATACACTAAAATCGTAGAATTGTCACTCAATTATCTACATTTATGACAATTATGTGATTAAAATGACATTGTGACCTCTTTCTATCCAAGCCACTGAGTGAATGTACTGATGCTAAACTTCATTTGATGTTTCGAGAAAATCGTTCAGACAATTTAGATGTGTAGTT